AGAAAATTTTATAGAGTTTTTGCGAGAAAAAAAAAGAAGAAAAAAAAATCAATAAAAAAAGGCTGTATGCCTTATATTCATCCCCACCCCATCCTGAATATGCCTTTTATTTGTCCAAAATACTTAACAATTGGCATATTCCAACTACAAATCATTATAATAGTGTCAGCAGATGAGCATCTGGATTACATCAGGTAATTTCAGTCCACAGGCATTTCAGGCATGCTTAAGAAAAACTTACATAACTTGAAAAAGAAAAAAGTGGGCACTTTGAAACCAGTAGCAAAAAACTTGAATGCTTACTCAATTTTATTTTTTAATTAACCATATAAACTTTAATATTAAGAATACAATATACATTATATTACTGTCAGTCCAGATTTGCGTATACATATGATACAAATGAGGTCTTATTCTTTAATATTTCCAATTCAAATTCCTTGACATTTTCCCGTTGCCACCGCAACAGATTACAAAAACATCATCACTGATAAAAATGTTTTTTATGATTGGCAACGGTATAACTTACCTTTGTATTTGAAACGAAAAAAAATTTTCTAGTCACACTTTTGCTCTAGGTGGCCTGCAAATGTGTTTATTTTTGGTACGCTCTTTGGATGTCCAGACACGGTTAAAAGGAAAATTTGTCTCTTATACATATTCTCTAGGACACGACACAGCAAATCATTTAAGAACATTTTAAACTGAATCTATTTTTTTTTTTTGCACATTCAAGGTCTGTACAGTATAAAGCTCAATGCTTATTGACATGGCCTCTTAAGATGATCGCTGGTTACTATAGTCAGAGACATATAATATTGTATTATATGTCTCTGCTATAGTGTCATCAGGAGGCTTTCCATTTTTAAATGAAAATACGCATTCCAGTACTTCATCCTCATTTACCATCTGTAGTGGGTCTTTTTTTTTTAGTAAATATTACATGCAATAAACATTTACTACAAATTAAGACCCACTACAAATGGTTTTCTCAATTCGCCCTCCACTTTCTGCTTCCTAGAGGTGTAGGGTAGCGGAATCTGTCGAGGTTTGCCAATTGATCAAGGAAGATTTCATATATTTTAGCCAATGATAAAAGAGAAGTTTTGTAGTCTTATAATAATTAGTATCTAGATATTGACATATGTCATATTTTCAGTGCAAAAGTATAGTTAGCATGCATTTTTCAACTGATATTTATAGTTTGTTCTTATGTTGTACTGTTACACCACTGTCCCAGGTTAGGGGGAGGGTTGGCTCCTTTAACCTAAACTAGTTTAACTCCGCCACATTCTGTATGTGCCTGTCCTAAGTCAGGAGCATGTAATTCAGTGGTTGTCGTTTGTTGTGAAACATGTTGGTTTTTTGTTCATTATTTTGTACATAAATTAGGCCGTTAGTTTTCTCGTTTGAATTCGTTTTACATTTGTCATTTCGGGCCTTTTATAGCTGACTATGCGGTATGTGCTTTGCTCATTGTTAAAGAAAAAAATTTGTGACCTATAGTTGTTAATTTGTGTGTCATTTGGTCTCCTGTGGAGAGTTGTCTCATTGGCAATAATCATACCACATCTTCTTATATTGTGTCCGCGGATACAGGACACGTATATGGCATCATTTAGTGTATGGGCTAAACTTTTATGGCCTTTGTCGATTGGGTGATACACGTAAAAACTATACTGAATTATTATCTATTCGAGATGGCATCTATCATTATTACCGTTACTAACTTGACTGCGTACATCAGGGCGACAAAGACATACAGCAAATGGAACGCAGCGGCAGAAACAGTTGAAGTGAATTTTGGAATAAATATGTTTTATAAATCCTTTTATTGATCATATGAAATCAGACATCTGAACAGAACACAAGATTTCGATATTAATAATTAAACCCATGCTCTTCGGTTTCTATGCGATAACCTGTTACTGTTACCTATTCTATACATTCCACCTTTATCAGATGAACCACTTCAGTCAAGCAATCTTCTTGAAGTGAACCCCTTATATTTTGAAATTTGAATTTTTGGCACTTCCATTTAATGTAGAATTCTTCATTATACACTTACATACACAAATGCACCGCCACCACACTATTATATATATATTCAAAGCCGGTATACAGGTATATACAAAGTCACATTTAAAATATAAAACTTGATCGACTCAGCAATTGTCATTTTCACCTTTATCACACTTATGACTCCTTTATTCTTCGTTAAAATATATCCAAAGAATATACATTAAAATCTGAAACTTTTTTAACACGTTACCATGACAAACGGACTTTTCGAACACAAACATTTGTGTTATCTTATATCTTTTTTAAGTTTCAAGGAAAGCAGCTGCTATAAATGGAGGAGGCTGCATGTATTAATTTTATCATGCTTCTCACTAACTGCAAAGTAAAATGCTGGGGTGTTTAACACCTATCATGGCATAATACCTTGAGGATTTGTATAGTAAGACCTTCTTACTATACAAATCCTTGATAATACTGAGCAGGAGAATATTGAAAAGAAAATTGAGTAAATCGAATTCATACCGAAAAAAAATTAAAAATCAACACTGTTAAAGTAGCCGAATTTAAACATGGCATGCCCTTAAATATACATGTACTTCCAAAGTAAGCTCTCGTTTGAGCATTGTGTGGTTAGATCCAACAAGCTACCCTATTGAAATAAATGTACAAGATGAAGATTATTATCATAATTATGTACTCTACAATCAAATTGCTACCCAAGGATCTGAAATAGCTACCTTACTAGAATAGAATTTTAAACCTCTTGATTTTTTTTATCAAATAATCTGTATCATATTCTGAGATTTCAACAAAGGATTTTTTACATCAAAATTCTAAATAATTCAATTTAAAGCCAAAAGATCATTTTGTTTATCTGACTTCATTATTTACAATTGTATGAAATTTGTTTACTCTCCTCTACTTTGCCACTTTCCATAAATCAAAAAAATTTTAAATCTGGGCCTTTCAATTAAAATTGTCCATACCATATAAAATTAAGGAGATGTGATATGATTGCCAAAGAGACAACTATCCACCAAAGTTCAAATGAAGTAAATGTATTTCATGTTAAATTTATATAATTTTCTGATACAAAAATCATTCAGAGTTAATTTGTGTATGAAGTGGATACAAGTATTCCCTTATTCCTATGTTTCTTTAATGATTTGGCCTTGAGTTTATGGTCCTTTACAACAAAACTGTATTGGCAGACGGACATGCAATATAGTTTTGATTATAATTTTTCTTAACAATTTTCTTGGAGTTTGGCACATTTTAATCATAAAATTATCTTTTCCCATGCAACATTTTAAGTAATATTTTGTAAAAATTGAAAATGAGTTGCCATTGCTATGGACAACATTTGGTAGCTAGGGGGCAATAACAATGTTTTTGCACAAAAATTGAGCAATGAATTTTATGCAATAGGAGCAAAAATCTAGATTTTGAACAAAGGCAGTAATCATTTTACACCCACTGCATGGTAGGATGACTATTAGGTACATCAAAAAAACAAAAGACGGGATATTTCTTAAATGATGTTTGCATCCTTCATAGAAATATTTTAGTCAAGGATTTGTATAGTAAGATACTATACAAATCCTTGTTTTAGTCAAGGAAAAATAACAAAATAAAATGCTCCACTGGGCACAGCTTGATACAACCTCAGAGGTCGAACCCTGAACAGTTTGGGCAAGTATGGACACTACATTCAAGCTTGATACACCTCTGAATTTTGATTGTGATTAAATATTTAACATAGCATAGGTTTCTGACACAGAATGAATGTTGTCAAAGAACTGAAAAGTTTGAAATTGGACTTTTACCTATTGGTCCAATATCCCAAATCTAAATACACAGTTAAATTCAGCATATCCAGAACCAAGAATTGGATTTATTTATTTATTAATGGACGATATTAGCTAAGTTTTTTAGGGGTTTGCTTCATAACAAAAATTGATATATATATATATATAGCATTCTGAAAATTAATTTATAAAGAATAGCAAACAAATCTACCACAAAGTTCTTCCAAAAAATTACAAATTAAATGAAAAAAACAATTTTCAAAATATTATTAATCATTAATACAATGTCTTTATAAAATCTATAAAACTTATAACTTTTATTATTTTTCAAAATATCTAGTAATGAACATTAAATTTCAAACTATATTTATACACAATTTCTTCTCTAAAAATAGAATTTATGCTGTACCTATTTTTAACCATGAATCTACTTACAATTGCAATACAGCTCTGATTTTAGATTGTGATTAAATATTTGACATAGCATAGGTTTCTGGCACAGAATGAATGTGGTCTAAAAACCTTAAAAAATTTGAAATTAAGATATTTATCTATTATGGTCCAATATCCAAAATCTAAATACATGTTTAGATTCAGCATATCAAAGAACCCATTGAATTCAATTTTTGTTAAAATCAAACTAAGTTTAATTTTGGTCCTTTAGACCTCAATGGTGACCAATTAAAAAACGGGGTCCAAAATCCAAAATCTAAATACACAGTTAGATTCAGCATATTAAAGAATCCCAAGAATCAAAGACTTTGAATTTTGTTTTGTTTTTGGCCCCTAATTCGTAAATGGTTTGGGCCATAGCCCCTAAAATCAATTCCAACCTTCCTTTTGAGGTGTGGAACCTTGTGGTACAATTTCATAATTATCCATACTCTTATACACAAGTTATTGTCCTGAAACAAGAAAATTGCTTGTTTTTGGCCCCTTTTTGTTCCCTAATTCCTAAACCGTTAGGACAAAAAACCCCAAAATCAAGCCTAACCTTCTTTTTGTGGTATGAAACCTTGTGGTACAATTTCATAGAGATCTTCACACTTATAATCAATTTATAGTCTGGAAACCAAATGTCTTCAGACAACAACAACGTCATAACATTTTACGACCGCAAAAATTTGCAGTCATATAAAATTCTTTTTGTCTTGAGGAACAACAAATAGATAAAAAAGTAAAACATTTATTATCATGTTATAAAAACAAGATAAAAATAGTAACATGTATAATATTTTGTTCAGATGAATGTAATATAAGGTGATTGCAGGGAATTGCAATTTGATATACCTTAGTTTATTCTATTAGGTCACCCTTGTATCCCTCACCTAATACTAGAAGCTACAAGGAGCCTGTATTGTGCACCATGAATAGGTTGCACAAATATCAATTGAAGGTAAACATCATTTAATTTTTAGAGTTAATTAAATTAGTTCCATATGTTTATGATTTGAATAACACTTGTAAAATGTCAACAATGTTAAATATTTATTGATGTTTGTGCATCCCAGTATCTACTCTATACACATATTAATGACTAACATAAACATATAAACCTTTAGGCAGTTGAATTGGCACCTAAAACAAAACAAAAACTTTTTCAGAAGCCCAACTGAAAGAATTATAACAGGGCTTTAACTATCCCCAGCCCCACCACCTTTGAAAAAAAAAAGGAAAATAAGACAGTCTTGGTACATTCACGCCAAAACTGCAAATGAGGAAAAATAAACATGTTTAATGCAATCATCTGAACCATTTAAGTAAGTAAGAGCAATTTTTTTTGGAACCCAGAAAATTGGGCTTGGGTAACTATTGAATTACCAGTCTAAGAAAGCAATTGGCCCATTATTCAGATTTTTTTTTAATGTTTTGTCAAATAATCTGGGTTTCAGAAATAGTGGAAGCATCGGTTGAAGGCAGTTGGGTTCATGAGCCATACTATGGTATCTTAGGAACAACAAACTTTCTATTACCCTAATAAGCAGTCAATAAGAGTATAGTGCGATATCTGAAGCAGAGTAGAAAACTTTAATTTTTAAAGTCAATACAAGTAACTTAAAACTATGACAATAATAACAAACAAGTACGTATACTTAAAGTCCAGTCTAAAAATATGCAGTTTGTATTTATTGCTCAAAATAAAACTATATACTGGAAATAAGATTAATGTTTACTGAAAACCATTAAAGATAAACATTAGTTTTAAACCCAAGGCTTACTAAAATCTTTCCATTTATGTTTTATTTATAGTAGTAGTTCCATGTTGGTTTGCAGGCATGTATATTAGAATTTACTTTGGAACTACACACCATACAGATTTTTGTTGTCAAGTTTAACTGCAATTTCACAAGTGGTATTAGATTTTATTCTAAAATTAAAAATAGTTTATGTTGTACAGCTCATACTTGCCCTTAAGATAAAGGAAGCTAAAAATGTTGATTAAATAATTTATCTGTCATTGTCTGTCCTATTCCAACTATTTTTGGAAGAAAAATATGATTTTTTTTCAGAAATACAATGAAATCATTTATCTGGATACAAAAACATGTCATATTTGTCTTAATTAGACATGAATCATCCCACGGATGCTTCCTTTCAGTAATAAATCCAGTGATGACTGTAACTAACCAACCTAGAGGTTGCCATTACTATAACTGTAAATAAAACTGGAGTAAAATAACAATTTTTATCATTTTTACTACAGTTGCACATTTAATCATTTTTACTACAGTTGCACATTCAATGAGGATCAAATATTGGTCATTCTTCTTGCTTGAAATCCTATCTGTAAGACTATAGTTACTCTAGTTTCATGTGATAAGCAAGTCAACAGTCCATTCTGGTACCATCTCACTTGATAATATGATTAAAATATATCTTAATTAACTTGTCTTAATTAAACAAAACATGGTCTGTATCTTCACAAAGGTGTTTTTACATTGTATATTGGATGAAGACATGTATATTATAAGAGACAGCCTTTCATGACTGAACATAGTTTTACATTATTGGGACTATAAAAGATAAAAATTTCACATGGATGCCATGCAAGCAATACTGATTCCTTGGAGTCAAAAACACCAGCCACAGCAATAGTTCACAAAGACTCTTGGTTATAAACTACAGAAATTTTAGTGCAAGTCAATCATAGTCTTGTTCAGCTTTGAAGATCTTGCAGTCCACAAACCATATTTGCAGGTAAAGCTTTATCTGGAAAAAATAAGCAACACAGTTTACTTTTGATATTACATTTTGAACCAAAACTAGTTTGAGATAAATGCACTGTTTGCTTGAACAATCTCTATGCTGACTATACTGTATGGCTTTTGCTAATTTTTGAAGGCTGTACGATGACCTATAGTTGCTTACATACAGATCATTTGGACGAGTTGTGTCATTGGCAAAAATACCACATCTCCTTAATTTTATAACAATAATATTTAGAATTAGGTAATCTACTGTAAAAATACCTTTTTCAGGGGTGTATTTATTTTCACTAATTTTGCAAAACTAAATACAAGCAAATACATATGCAGCTTACATGCATATCAAAACCATTGATTAAAAATGAACGTATACATCTGAACATGCATGTTTACCTTGTTTACCTTGTTTACCTTGCATAACCAAAATTGAACTGTGAAACTGTTAAAACGTCATCAGTGATACATACAGAAAACCAATTAAAAGGTAACAAATAATGCTCCAAAGCCTGAGACTACTATAACCAAGTAGTTTCAGCCCAAGCCAAATATGACAGCTTTTTTGTGTAACTTAACAACTTAATCAGATAATAACCTATAAAGAACAGATGACTGTTATAATGATTGAATAATCCTAGTTAATTTAATTTCGTATTGTTAATCAAATGAAGACCTAATTAATGAACATTTGAATATTTTAAGTCTGTTATTTAAGTTTTGATAGTTTTGGAGATACCACGAAATTAAATAAATGTGAATTCATCAGTGAAAAAAAATAAGTGCACACGAAAAAAGTACAAACCAGTATACAGTAACTCCACAAAAAAGGCCAAAGAAAAATATCAGATTATGGAAAACTTATGTACATTAATGTTATCATAATTTTGTTCAAAATTTATTTTTAGAATACTGTGGATTCATTTATTTTCGTGGGTACCAATTTTCGTGGATTGAGGAAAACTTCCATATTTGTGGATATTTGATTTCGTGGTTTTGCTTTAGTCAGCATATTTTTATATGAAACATTTGTAATTCGTTGAACATTTAAATTCGTGGTTTCCCTGTACCCACGAAATCCACGAAAATTGGTATCCAACAAATAATAATGAATCCACAGTATGCAGGGAAATTTATGGGGGTAAAATGGGATTAAAACCGTTATCAAGCTACAATGAACAAATCAAAAATAAAACATGTGAAAAAACCTGATATACTGTAGTTTTCCATAAAATTGGTCCTAAATCATCATGTACAGGCATTTATTAGGGGTCAGTTGATAGATGAGTCATATGAGTATGTTTGTAGATCTTGAATGGCTGATCCTTAATTATGTTTACACTTTCTGTCTATTTATTATACTTTTCAAGACAATAAATGAAGACGAAATGGTAAAAGATTTTCCCTAAGTGGCAATTACTCCTATAACAAATCTTCCTATTATTTTGGTAGAAATTGAAGAAGTAGATCTTGCCATTTGAGCATTTTTGCTCTCCTCTTATATCTATCAGTATCTTTAAACTTTTGAATAAATAAAAACAAAAATTGTATTTGTTGAAAACAATTTTCCATAAGACAAAATGATATAAATGTTTTCATTTAAATAAACAGTCTTACAAATAAAATTGCAATTTCATATAAAAACTTGTTAATTTCAGTAAAAATCAATACCAAATAATTGATAATCCTTGATGATTGGCCTTAAACTCTTACAATGTGAAAGCTGATAAAATCTTGATCCATTCCTATTTACTGTAAGGGTATTTCTTCTCAATAGAAAACAATGGCTGTGTCAAGAAAATATAATGTTGTGTCTTTCTTTGACTATAAAAGTGATTAACAATTAGGTGTCATAAAATTGTTTAAAACATTTAAGGTAGATTTACTGTTTATTGCCATCTTGGATTGTAAAATAGCAGTACACAATTGGTCTACTTCTTTGCTTGAATCTGCAAATTTTTTAGACAGATTGGCAATTAATGTGTAAGACTGTTTATCTAAATTAAGAAAAATAAGTAATTTATTGTATTATTTATACTATTTTTACAAATACTAAATATTTGTTTTTGTTTGAATAAATTTTTCAAATAAGACATTTGAGGGGAGATAACACTTATTAGTAATAGTAAAATTTTTATAAAGAAATATTAATGAAATTTTGATTTTTTACTTGTAGCAAGAAAACAAGTTTGGTGCATGGCTTCCAAAACAGTCGTATTGTCCGGACTTGACCGTTAAATCATATTTTTGACTTGATGTGCCGAGCCTGAAACGGACATATAACGATGGTTTGCCATTTTAACATAATTCAGAAAAAATTGAAGTTTATGCGATCTTTTTGACCTGACCTTTTGCCTTACACAACCACACATTTTCGGTTATAAAAGTGACATGATGAATAAGTACTATCAAAACAAACCCAACTTTAAAACCTTCTTATTACAATCAATGTTAATTAGTTGTCTGACAGCTAAAATTAATTTACCTGTTCAGGCAACAGGTAAACTATTTTGTACCGGACATTGATTGTCTATCTAAATTTCAGCAGTTTGTGTCTAATTAATTTAGTCAAAAAGATTTAGATTATCAGACAGGAATACCTATATAAATATGATTTGATAAAAATTTAAAAAGTAGTAATAAAGGTTTTAAGCGAAAAAATCTTCAGAACAACATTGTTTGAACTATACCCCGTTCACACTATGCCTTTTTAAACTGGGTTCGACTAGAATTAGTTAATCCGGGTAAAATTTAGGTCGTGTGAACGCCTTAACTTGGGGCGAATTCAGATTAAAATTACCCCTCATTTTAGGTGGAGTTTATGTGGGTCGAACCCGGGTTTATTACCTCGCTTCTATATGTGAACACAAAGTGAAGTTAATGTGAGGTTGTTGCTATGGTGACATATGACATTTGCTTAAATAGGTCTTCAATGTACAACGTAATTATTGTGTGACGTCACATATCGAATGACGTCATATTTTGACAGAGCTATACCGAAGTTACTGGGTCACGAACTATTACCATATTAAATAAGAGGCAGCAAGAGGGATATAAGTGTATTTAGCTATGCTGAAATACCTGCATAATGTCAAATGATGAAACCTATAAGATTTCCGTCGCATTTTTTTTTGGGGGGGAGGAATGGGTGCAATTTGGATAATTAATTTTGTGATTAAAAAAAAAGGTAAATATGTACAGTGGACAGAGGGGGGTTACAAATTTGGCGCTTAAATGTTGAGAGGGAAAATCTTTGTTAATGTACACAGATTTTAAGTATCGGTCTCTGGTCTGTGTTTTACCATTGTAAAGTCAACATCCTGTATTAGAAAAATGTACTTTTTAAAAATGAAAGTACAGTTTTTGACAGCGTAATTTTGCATAAATAAAGAGTTTAAGGCAGATATTAGTACGCTGATGTTGCACACTTCGAATGATGCACTGTCAATTTAACAGTTTACGTCAGAACATAGATTTATATCAAAAGTCAAGATTAATATTGTTTTTAAGTCAATCATTGTTTATATGATGCTCAGCTGATTACCATGACTGTCTTTTGTTACTAAGTCTTAAGAGATTAAAATTGGGAAAAAACAAAAAATGTCCGGCTGGCTTAACATTTTTTGGAAGCCTGGTTTGGTGACACCATTTTTTTCTTTTTTCTTTTCTTTAAGCATATTATAAACCTATATTCCCATATTTTATTTCAAAATTCTATCTCATAGATTTCTTTTTAGTCACATTTTTTTTTTTCATGAATTGGGCAATTTTGCATGACTTAAAGCTTGAAAAATAGCACTTTGACCCATTCTTTTTATTATATTTTTGAAAAAAAGCATGGCAAAGAATAAATGTGACTGAAAAACTTGAAATTGGACTTTTACCTATCATGACCCAATTTCCAAAATCTAAATACACGGTTAGATTCAGCATATCAAAGAATCCCAAGAATTCATTTTTTTTTAGTTCAAACAAAGTTTAATTTCGGACCCTTTGGATATCAATGTGGACCATTTTGATAAAGGGGCCCAAAATCCAAAATCTAAATACATTGTTAGATTCAGCATATCAAAGAACCACATATATTCAGTTTTTGTTGAAATCAAACAAAGTTTAATTTTGGATCCCGATTTAGACCAAATGAAAACTGAAATCAAAAATCTAAATACATGCTTAGATTCAGTTTAGCAAAGAACCACTTGAATTCATTTTTCCATAAAATCAAAATAAATTTAATTTTGGACTATGTGGACCAATTTGAAAACTGGTCCCAAAATCAAAAATTTAAAATACACAGTTAGATTCAGCATGCCAAAGAACCCAAAGAAGTCAATTTTTTTTTAAAATCAAACAAAGTATAATTTTGGACCCTTTGGGCCTTAATGTGGACCAATTTGAAAGAAGGCCCAAATTTGAAATCTAAATACATGCTTAGATTCAGCATATCAAAGAACACCAATAATTCAATTTTTGAAGAAATCAAACAAAGTTTTATTTTGGACCCTTTAAACCTTAATATGGATCAATTCAAAAACAGACCCAAAATCCAAATTAAAAATACCCAATTGAATTCAGCATTTTCAAGAACCTCAATGCAAGAATTCAAGACTTTGAATTAAACCCCATTGAAATTGCTAAAGAAATAAGCAATTTATACAAAGTATTACAAAAGAATTATTTTTGGCCCCTTTTAACTAAACCATTAAGGTCATAACCCCTAAAATCAATCCAAACTTTATTTTATGATATAACACCTTGTGGCACAATTAAATAGCAATAAATAGACTTATACTCAAGTTATTGTCCAGAAGCCAGAAAATCCTAGTTTTTTGGCCCCTAATTATTAAACAGATTGGACCATGACCCCCCAAAAATCAATCAAAACTATCCTTAATTATTAAACAGATTGGACCATGACCCCCCAAAAATCAATCAAAACTTTCCTTAAGTATGGAACCCTGTGGTAAAATTTCATAGAGATCTATACTCTTATACACAAATCATTGTCCTGAAACATGAAAAATGCTTGTTTTTGGCCCCTTTTTGGTCCCTAATTACTAAACAGCTACAACAATAACCCCCAAAAATAAATCCCAACCTTCCTATTGTTATATGGAACCTTGTGCTAAAATTTAAGAGATCCATGCACTTATACTCAAGTTATTGTCTGTGAACCAGACAAATAATTGTTTTTGTTAGGCCCTTTTTGGCCCATAATTCCTAATCAGCTATGACAATAACCCCCAAAATTAATCCCAACCTTCCTATTGTGGTGTGGAACCTTGTGCTAAAATTTAACTGAGATATATACACTTATACTCAAGTTATTGTCTTAAAACCAGACAAATAATTGTTTTAGGCCCCATTCTGGCCCCTAATAACAAAACAGCTACGACAATAACCCCAAAAATCAATCCCAACCCTCCTATTGTGGTATGGAACCTTGTGCTAAAGTTTCATACAGATCCATACACTTATACTAAAGTTATTGTCTGCGAACCAATTTATTTTCTATGAACCAGTAAAACTGACCTTTTTTGGCCCCTAATTACAAAACTGCTAAGACAATAGCCCCCAAAAATAATCCCAACCATCCTTTAGCAGTATGGAACCTTGTTCTAAAATTTCATAGAGATCCATGCACTTATACTCAAGTTATTGTCTGCAAACCAAAATGTCTTCAGACGCAGACGCAGACAACACCATAACATAATATGTACGCAAGTTGTATAAAAAAAATCTATCTGAAGAAATATATACCGATGATCCACCTTAAATCTATTGACTCACCCTGAAACTGCTGGACACTAAAGAACCAACAACTAATTAATAAATATTTTGACAAAAGTAAGTATAAAGCATGAATATTCATACCAATCTGTTTTGGATATGGAAGGTTGAGATTCTCCATAATGTTTTTGAACTCTGCTTTTGATTTAGTCAGTCTTGGATTCAATGTTTTTTCTTCTGCCACTGTAGTTACTGTTTGTCCTGACAAAATACCAATAAGAAGATTATGAACTATTAATGTATACATAGAGATCCAATGCAATGCATATAGAAGTAACAGAAGGGAATATTCTATTTAGTATTTATTTTCTTGTTCAAGCAAAACAATTGAATTCAGATTAGGACTGCTAAAACATGAAATTTACTTGAATTTATGAATTGATGTAATGAAATGCCAGAGGTTTTCCCCTCTTTTTTAAAGCAGGGGTATAATTATTTGATCTCATTTGTGGTAATAAGCATTGTGTATAAGTTTCATAACATTTGGTTGAGGTAAACTTAAGTTAGAGAACGGAATTGAAAAATGCCTTTGACTCAGTGACCTCAATATCAAAAGGGATCTTCCTCTTATTGTATGCCAACATATATCCAAGCAAGGTTGCAATCTGACATCATATTTGATTTAGAATCCGAAAACCCTTTTTCTGACAAAATTTTGGTACATCTTTATTAACTATGATCATGACCTTGCACCTCAAAATCAATAGGGATCTTCCTCTCATTATATGAGGGTCTGGATGGGGTGGGAGGTCCTTCGTTTCTGCATTCTTTAAATTTTTAGGCCATTTTTCTCTATTCTTTATACTTTAGCAACCATTCTCTTTTCTTTATTTTTTTGGTCTATTCTTTATTTCTTTGGTCCTTTATTCTATATTTTCCCCATTATTCTCTATTCTGTAAACCCCATCCAAACCCTCTTATATGTGACCATATATCCAAATAAGGTTGCAATCTGATATATATATATATTTGAGGCAGCATCCTGAAATCAAAATGAATGACAAACTGACTGTGTATGATAAATCATATAGATATGATAAATCACCAATGTACAACTACAGTCTACAATTAAGCAGATCTTGCAATTCAAAAGCTTCTACAATACCTGTATAATCATGTGCTGGAAACAGGCGAAAGTTAGATGGAAGGCTAAAAATCTGTTTATGAACTGATTCATACAGTGTCTCGGAATTTCCTAAAATATTAAAAACAATAGACGTTGTGTTTCACCAATATAAATGCGATGAGCTTCGCATAAACTTTGAGCGATAGGATTAACTAACATGCTATATATTCATCCATCAAAATGTAGGGTTTTTATTTTTTTCTTCAAATAATTGTTGAAAGATCTAAAGGAGCTTCTACTCATGATTAATAAAAAGTCTATATGAATTTAGTGAAATTAATTAAATTTTCAAATAAATTTACACAATGTGATTTGTTCTCTTCAAACTTTTTGCATCTGATATCAAGATAGGTAAATGAAACATATCTTGATGTCAGAAGTTATTGTATGTCATATCGTTTTTTCGATATTTGGTGTAATTTTCGATTTTCTGTTACATTTATTCACAACTTTTAAAAAGTAGAGACAATTTAGAGCTTGATATATTGTATAAAGACCTGTCAATTGTTGAAGACTGTATGTCAAGGGCTTTATCAGCAGCTAGGTATAGCTCATTTGCATATAATTTGCATGCTTTTGCAAAATATAAAATTCACACACAGAAATGTCTCACTACTTTACTAGTCATGATTAGACTTATAAATGTTGAAAGTCTGTAATATGAAGGTTTTATTACAAGAATCATATAAACTTAACATTATCAATGATCCATAATAATGAGGTCAAGGTTAGTTGAACCATACCAGACATTAATGTACACCTTAAAATCATACCATACACCAAATATAGTTAGCCTATTGCTTATATAGCATCTGAGAAACAGACCTTGTTACATTACAAAAACTGAACATTGACCAATGAACCATGAAAATGAGGTCAAGATCAGAAGAACCCTGCCAGACATCATGTTAACAATGCAATCATTCAATACACCTGGCATGATAACATAACATTGACCAATGAATCATTGACATGAAGTCAAGGTCAGATGAACCCTGTAAGACAAGACATGTACACCTTACAATGATTCTGTACACCTAATATAGAGGCCCTACTGCTTATGCATGGTATCTGAGAAATAGAATCAAACCACAAAAACTTACCATTGTCAAATGAACCATGAAAAAAAGGTCACAGTCAGATGAAACCTGCAAGACAGACATGTACACCATACAACAAATACAGCTGATCTATTGTTTATACTATCTATCTGCGAAACAGACCAAACCACACAAGCCAGTCAGACATGTACACCTTACAATCATTCCATACACCAAGTATAGTCAACCTATTACTTATGGCGAGTAAAAACCATGTATTTCTGAAGAAAAAACTCAGCATGGTAAGCGTAAATAGTGTGTGGACTTAAATAAAAAAATGAGAATCATCCACATCCAATGCATGGTCATATTTCAAACAAAATGCTGATTCAATAAATGCTGTCCCAAGCAATGCACATATTTTATCTGTCCAAGGGCATAAACTAAAATTTTTTTGTTGATCTATACAACTTTTTATAAATATTGTCGAGAAATGAAGCCTTTAGAGCACTCACCATGCAATTTTCATATAATAATTATTTCCAAGGGGCATAAATCTTTTAAAATTTATTGATCAGCACTGATTTTTCGAACTTGACTGAGACATTGCTAATATAAACCCTTGATATAAATTTTTTTATAAATATCTGGCAAGGATTGTAAACGTCAGAGTGCTAACAGTGCAGTTTTCTATAGAATTTACATTTCTAAGGGACATAACTCCTGAAAAAATATTTTATCAGGGCTGATTTTCGAACTTGCTGATATAAATCTTCGATATAAGTTTCATATCAATTCTTTAAGAAATGTAGGCTATAGAGTGCTTACAATGCAATTTTCCATATAATTAGTATTTCCAAGTAGCATTAATCTTTTAAAAATAGTTGATTGGCACTGATTTTTTAACTTGTCTGAGACATTGCTGATATAACCTTTGATGTAAATTTCATAAAAATCTGGCTAGAATTGTACATGTGAGAGCACTTACAGTGCAATTCAACAGAAATTAAAAATTTCCAAGGGGAATAACTCCTTAAAAAGTAGTTGATTGGCATTGATTTTTGAACTTGTCCGAGACATTACTAAATAAACCTTTTATACAAGTTTGATAAAAGTATGACAAGAATTGTACATATGAGAGTGCTTACAATGCAGTTTTCCATATAATTAATATTTCCAAGGGGCATAACTCTTCAAAAAATTGTTGATCAGCACTGATTTTTGAAACAGTCCAAGACATTGCTAATATATATATCTTTGATATAAGATTGATAAAATTCTTGCAAGAATTGTACACTTGAGAGTGCTTACAAGAGTGGATGTACGGACTGAAACCTGGTATTTCTATGTCAAAAATTGTGAAATGGAAATTTAGGAGTACAGGTCGTACAAGTATCAGTGACATGAACAAAACAGAATGATCTAGGAGAGACTATTATAATAACCTTCAATACGTCGCATCATAAAGAATGGCAGATTTTGTCTTTGAATATCAACTTTAATACTGGTTAACTGGTTAGGTAAAAATGTTTGATTGACAAAACTTTTTTTTACCATTTTAAATTACAAACTGTTCAAGCTTTGACAAAGCACAAGCATTGGACAATGTTTATTTAAGATTGAGTGTAAGGTTGAGATGTGTCACATGGTGTGTTACATGTTTCTCCTGTCATATTGACCTTTGACCACAAGCCTTGAAATTATTTAAGAATTAAGCTCTTCCCTAGATAAGCATTGGTAATGGTATCAAACTGGTTTATATTTACATAAACTGTGATCATTTGTTAAAGTGATAAAATCAGACATTAAATAAAAGAAGAATGTGTCCATTGGACACAGATACCCCGCTTGTAAATATGCAAGAGTCAATGTTCTAATCCAAACATACTGACATTTTGTTTTCTTTGAAACTTAATGACATTTATTTCTGTTATTGAATGTGCAAAACAGCAAATTTGGCAATTTTTTCCACAACACAAGAACGATGAAAGTGAAGCCACCCAAATTTGAATTTGATCTGTGTTTGGTGGTAATAAGCATTGTGTACAAGTTTTATAACCTTTGGTTGTTGCAAAGTAAAGAGTGTGGAAACGGCAAATTCAGCAGTTTTTTTCATTTATAAAGGACATAACTCAAGAACCATGAAAGTGAAGCCACTCAAATTTGAACTTGGACGGTGCTTGGTGGTAATAAGCATTGTGTATAAGTTTCATAACATTTGGTTGAGGGAAATTAAAAATAGAGAACAGAAACTAACTTTGGACGTACAGATGGACGGACGTACCGACGTACAGATGGACAAGGGTAAAACTTAAAGCCCCCACGGCCCTGGCAGGGGCATAAAAACTCTAAATTACTTGAAACTTGTTGTTTACAATAAGTGAAACCAAATTTCACCCGTGCCAGGTGCAAATAAATGTATCCCACAATGAGAAGACAATCAGCACTGAGGCAATGTTTTCTTTTCATACTTTGTTGCCAAAAATAGTTTTCCATAGCAATTAATGTCATAAAAATGTAACCAATTCTGTATTTGTCATGAATATGCATCAAGGTATGGTGTTCTTATTAGAATCAAGGAAACAGTGGAATATAATAACAGTTAAAGTGTACAGTACTTAGGTAAATTTAAAACCAAAAGGCATGGCACTGGTTTTTTACAACCTTTTTGGTATATCATGTCATGTCATGATTTCTCATTGCCAAAAGTTGACTACTATGATTTATTAATTAGTTGTTAGCCTAACAACACTTTTGAACAAACGGGCCCAGGAAGCCAAAAAAGGAACATATAAATTTATTTTTTAGACTTTTACATATATTTTCTCTTCATGCTCAACTTGCTGGTTAGCAGCAAAAGAATTATAATGATTCACATCAGCCAGAGGCTTGTTTCAAATTGTAAGATAATAAGAATTAAATTTCTAAAACATCTGGCAACCACAAATATTTTCTAAAATTTGTACAAACCTTCCTGAAAATCTGTTCTCCCACAACCTCTTACTAAAAGGGCATCACCAGTGAATGCCATTCCTTTGTCATGCCATACATAGGTTAAGCAACCTGCAACAGTTTATAATTATATTTTTAAAAACAAGTGTTCATGTAACTTAGAAATTTATTTAAATAAATTTTGAGTAGAAGAAATACAGCTGGTTCACATCTTTATTTATTTCTATTTATATATTATAAACAGGCTATTATTTAAACTTGGAATTATTTTTAATTATGGAATTTGCATAATTTCTTGTGCTTGAAATTTTTAATAAATTCCATGTTTATTCTGTATTATAATGTTTTGAGCGGTGCATAACACTTTCCATACAATGTATTTTGTATAGATAGTGTTGTGCGCCGCACAGTACATTCTATTGAAAATGTGCATTCTTCTTTGTAATAGAAAGTGTTGTGCGCCGCACAGAACATTAAAATACAGAATAAACATGGAATTTATTAAAATTTTCAAGCACAAGAAATTATGCAAATTCCATAATTATAAATAATTCCAAGTTGAAATAATAGCCTGTTTATAGTTTTTAAGATATTAGGCAATAACGCAAAACATTGATAAAAATTGTCATTAAAGGGCAATAACTCTAATAAGTAGTCCCTATATCGACTTATTTGTAGATCTTGTCTTGCTGATCATTTTTTAATTTAAAAGTTTTTGTCTATCTATTAAATTTTATGAGATAATAGGCACAAAAAAAAGTTTAAAATATTTGAAATCAAGCAAAAATATTCTACTTTTGTAATAATATGAGTAATAATAAACTAAGATCACATTAGTTTGTTCATTTAAATGAAAATTTTTATTAGTAAGTTGCATTCCTGCATTGAAATTTGCTGACCTAATTAAAATTCTAGACCTATTGTGTTCTGCTATTTTACAATACAAGATGGTGGAAGACACCTATACCACCCTAAGTTATATATAATTCAAACACTTTAAACCAAACATTTATTCCTTATTATAATACTGACACTGACCATACATAATTTGAACCTTCTTATTCAACATATTCTTGTTTAAACAAACAATTTATTATTTGCCATGTATAATTTAGCATACACTTCAAAGTAAATTGTAAAATTATGACTATTTACTAGTCTTAATATTTCTTACAAAATTTGGTAGACTCTTACTAAATAAACGCACCATTTGTATGACCAGGTGTGCTTCTTACTTCTAAATGAAAAGATCCAAAGTCAATCTTGTCACCATCAGATAACTTGACATCTGCCTTTGCATTGCTGACATTAGATATCATACTTTCACATGTTGGAAGTTTCTTTTTAAGTTCTCCAGATCCTGTCACGTGGTCTGCATGAACATGAGTATTTACTGGGAAAATATCACAATATTACCTGTAGAGTTAGGTTTACCTTAATTCACATACACACACAGAAAATTAACTTGCCCTTCCAAAACAAATATTTCATTTTCCTAAAGAAAAATGTTTTATAAAATCATATAATTCTGAAATATGACATAGGAACCATAAAGGTAGTATGAACCAGTGTTGCTCACCTGGATCTATGCGCATCTTTAACACTGGCCTCTCTCTAACATTAAAGACTAGAATATAATTCATGAGTCATGACATATAATTTTTGTTGATCTTTTTGTTTCGTTGATCATTTTTGCTGTTTACATTTTCTCCCAATTTACAATAAATTTTGCCCAAATTGCAAAAAAAAAATGTGAAAAAAATCCTCATTTAAGGGCAATAACTCCTAAAGGAATCATCTAATGATTTGGTCACATTGGCATTTTTGTAGATCTTCTATGGCTGTTCATTTTGCTGTTCACAACTTCTATATCTATAATAACTTTTGAAATAATTGGCAAAATTTATAAAAAAAATAACTCTAAAATTGCCTTTTATGGGCATACGATACAGAAAAGATCCTCATCGATTTTTCCTTCAGATTTTGACACATAGTCAATTTTGATATACACTATCGAAATATGAAAAGAAAAATATACCTCCATGTCCATGACTTACTTTTCGAGATATATTTCAGCTTGAAATATGCATGTTTTGTGTAAAAATACAATCTCATTTAAAGTACTTTTTTTGATTTTTACAGTTATTCTCCATCTTCAATAGTTTCGACTAAAAAGGGTCAAAATCCTCATTCAAGGGCTAGGATTGGAATGACAATTGAGGTCATGTTTAATTATTTGTAGATTTCATATTGCTTATCATTTTTGTATTTAAAAGTTTCTTTCTATCTACTTATATAATAAACAAGGAATTGTTTGAATCTGGAATAATTTTGAATTCTGGAAAATTGATTATGGTAGAAATGTATGATGAAAACTAACCGTGCATGGCTAAGGTTAGTTAGTTCATACTGAAATATCAGTGAAAGTAAAATTAACCTTAGCCATGCGTGCATGGCTAACCCTGTTTAGTTGGGTTAGTTTTCACCATACTTTTTATATCAATTTTCCAGAATTCAAAATGATTCAAGATTCAAATAATTCCTTGTTTATACAGTTTCTGCAAAAAAAACACACCAGGGAAAACATGATTTATTTATTACTAGTAGTTAGAACTGGATTTAAACTAGCTTTCAGTAACTGTGAGTACTCTTAGATCTTAAGATTGTTCCTTTGTTAGTTATTTTTGTGCCTCATGCCAATCTGATAATAGTATAGCCATTTCAAACCGATTTTAAAAGTTTGTTCATACTCTGCTGTAACACCACTGTCCCAGATTAAAAGGAAAGTATGAGTACTCAAAACATGTTTAAATGTGCCTAGCCCCAAGTCAGTGGTTGTAGTTGGTTGCTGTCTGTAATATTTTTTTGTTTTTGTTTATTGTTGTATCATTAATCAGGCTGTTGGTTATCTCATTTGTCAATGAATTGATTCACACTTTGTCATGATCTGGATCCAAATTATTGTCCCATAAACCAGTTATGTCTGTTTGGGTTTCTCAAACAATTTTGTCAATATGATTAAATTTTCAAACAACTATTATACAAGTGGGAGGTTTAGCTAGCTACAAAATCAGCTTTAACACACCATTTTTTTTTTGGAAAATGTCTGTACCAAGTGAGGAATATGACAGCGGTTATCCATTCGTTCCCTTGGTTGATATACATGAAGTTGAGTATTTGGTTTTGTCAGTTTTCATGCACTTCCTCTTTTTTAGTTTACTTCAGAATTCGTTTTTTGTTTTGTTTGTTAATACTTTTTTTGATATGTTTCAGTTTCTCTTTATCTAATTAGGTTTCCGCAAAAAACACACAAAATGTTAAAAATTGACATTGAAGGGCAATAACTCCTATAAATGCCAACTGATGATTTCGACCATTTTAATTTATTTGTAGAACTTATTTTGATGACTAACTTTAAACAGTTTCACTCGATCTACTAATTTTTTTCAAAATGTACAAAAATTGGTAAAAACAAATCATTCAAATACTTCAGAAGAGAAGATTTTTAAAAAGTTAACTGACGATGGACACCAAGTGCTAGAAAAACCTCACACTTGTCCACTTGGCAAGATGAGCTAAAATTCAAAACATTGTATTTTTATCCATAATACAAAATAGACAGGGCTTGACTTTACATCTACAGCTCTGGCCTTGCGGTCATAAAACTTTCCAGCACGATAATCATACTCAGACTCAGAATTCAACCAATGAAAATACTGGATTTGTCATTTCGAGCACAAATTTTGTACTCCAAGTACTGAGTAAAGTTTTATGACCGAGGGCCCAGGAAGTTAAAATCTACAGTGCTTGACTTTATATTTTCTCAGTTAAGACTTTACATCTCCAGAGCTAGACTTTACATCACCTCCGCTAGATTTTACATCTCCAGCGCTACCCTTTATATCTTCAGAACCCCAAGTTTTATTGGGGAATAGAAATATTGTCACTCTTGGTCTTTTTCCGACTGGCAGTAAAACCTTTGCCAAAATTTTGTTGTGTGGGATTGACAAATTCGCAGCCACGTCTTTAGAATGGGGACGTTAAATCTGATGCCTCATGTAGAGAGAGTGCCATGCTCTTGCACGTTAAGAGCCCTGCAACAATTTTTTGAGGGGTCAGTAGGTGGCCTGTTGTAAGGCTTAATTTGTGTCACTATCCAATTTACCCTCACTTTCCAGCAGCAGTCAAAATTTATCGCCCTTCATCCTACCTTTTTGTATTTATTTTAAATATGTTCTTGTACTGAATATGCATGAACTACTTGCCACTGGATGTTAAGTAACCAACAATCAATTAATTATTTAAATCTTAAGTGCTAGATTTTACATCTCGTTTGCTAGAATTTAAAAATCACAACTCTCTAGTATCTGTATTAGACCAAACAGGGCTACGTACAAAAGTAGTTATGTCAAAACTTGACACAAGATAAAATGACAAAAATTATACAGAAGGTTCATGAATTTTGACTGTCGTATCTGATTGACACTTAGTTGGTTGAAAGTTGAATTCAACAGAAGATCTCAATATTGTTCCAGAATATCATAACATTTTAAAATTCCACAAAATTTATTAATGATTTCAATACACATTTATATCAAATCTATTAAAATTGAAAAAAGGTCCGATTAACCGGTTAGCGTTTTTGGTATTAGATATTTGGTCCATCCGACGGTTAACTGGTTAATCGTTGACAACACTATTTATAACATATTAAGCTTAATAAAAATATTTTTGTAAAGAAATAGAAAAAAACATTTATTATATGTTTATATTGATTTAGAAGAATACCAATATACTGATATATATGTTAATTTTATTGATGATCTTACTGTCATTTATTCAATAAGGGAACGACCATTTAACTTCAAGAGGGGGGTTATGGTTTTTTCCTAAAAAAATATTCTGATCCCCATTTTCATGAAAAAAAATGTTGTGGTCAAGCAGACTTTCTGAATCCAGATTTTCCCCATACCTTATAGTGTTAAATTTTGAAAAAAATAATTTGATTGATAGCATTGAAAAACTAAAAACAAATTCTGACTCATAACCCCCCCCCCCCCCCCCCCCCCCTTTAAAGTTAAATGTCAAAGCTAACTTACTCTGCTGGCCACACTTACCTCTGGGAGAAAAATCATCCCGATGTCATTTTATATTACATTGGTCTAAGTAATAGACAAGACAAGCTTTGATTTAGTTTTTATAGCATGACATTCTCCTATTTAACAAAAAAATTCCAAGACTGACAATAAATTGATGAAAAGTCGACCTATCCCATTTATATTTTTTATATCTTATACCAGAAAGCTAAACAGGAAGGCCAAGTAAAGTTTTTTTTATCACTTAACCATTTGGTTGAGATTTGAAGGTTTAACAGGCATGTCATTAGAAATCTGGACCGACTATTTTCTGCTATCTTATTATCCTAGATGGCGGAGGACCCCTATACTACCTTTCAATGCCAAATTTTGAAATATGTGATGTTTGTCAGAGGGAAATATATATCAACCTACTGAAAACCATCTAAGTCACCAGACCATAATCATGACAGATGACCCAGATGTTTTATTTGTTGTCACAACAATCCCATCTTCCTTTATGACCTTATCCAATTTTACTTTTTATGAGCAACATGACAGGTGACACTAGTGAAGTACTCCCATTTTTTGGTGGGGTCTAGTATTTGGTTTTTGACTGCTCCCTCATATTTATAAAAATGAAACATAAAACAGATTTTACAGATTTCTTTGACTAATGGTTTGCCTCTTATACAATAAATAAGCAATAAGATTTAACAATTTGTATCATTATACCACACCAAGATACAGAAATTGGGTATCATAGTCATACCTGCATATTTGAGTTCAAGTCCGAAATCTTTGATGATTCTTGCATCTCTCTCTACCATCTCTATAACTGGATCAATAATGATAGCTTCCTTGGTGACTGGGTCACCCAAGATATAAGAATATGTAAAGGACTTGTAGTCTAAAAGCTGAAAAAAAATGTGTATTTTTTTTTAATATATATTCATATGAAAAAAAAATTAACATAAAAATAGGAAGTTCACATTCATTGGCATTAGTTGAATTTTAGGACTTCAATTATTTTGTTATAAGGTCAAATATGTCAAAACTAATTGTGTTTTACCACATAAATTACTCTCAGTACAGACAAAACAGTGCAACTGGAAAAGTTTTTAAGCTTTTTAAAGACCTAGATAATAAAGTTAAATGCATTTGTGTAAATAAAAACTTTCCTGGATTTTGATGTGCCATTTTGTCATTGCTACAAAAGATGTCAATTTATATATCTAAGTCCTGCCAAGCCTTAATTCTTTTCCACTTACACAGATTTATCTGTAAATAAATTTCATGGAGTAAACACAGCATTTTTTCACCTAAGGTTTAATGATTAACCTAAAGTTTACCTCATACATTTGTCAATTTGTCATACTAAACAAGGAACAGGTCAGCTTAAGGACAACTGGTGTCCATAGGAATACCAGCGGACTGTTATAATCTCCATCAAACAAAGAAAATATATATGTTCTCAATAAAAAAAATTAGCATCTTTGATAAGTCAGTTTCAGAGTACTTTTTATCGGAGCATTTGTCTTAAAATGTATGACTTCATAATACAAAGATATTTATATCTAAGGAAGCGATCCTTTCACTTGAAACTTGAAAAGTTTGACTAATTCTTTCAGTCTTTAAATTTCAAATAAGAAATGCTAGTGTTGAGGTTGGAGAAGTCCAAAGATAATTACTGGGTATTGCAGAAGAACAGGAATTTTGATTGTATTTATTCCAACAGATCTTCACAATTATTCCTAGAATCAACGACTGATCGACACATTATCCATATAGAAGGAAGCTTGAAAGTAACCATGAAGCCCTCTTTTGAGTGCTGATAGAACATAGATGTTTTTTGCAAATAGGGTTCATGGAGCTTTTGGCAAATCCAGTTATTAGGTTGCTTGTAAGGACACTTACCAGTATGTAAGTTGAGTATCCAGTGGAAGATCCATGTCTTCATCTTTGACTGAAATTCCAAAGGAACATAAAACAGACCTATGATTGTGAAGGATTCCTCTTAAACAAGAGTAATTGGCTCATATGTAAAACTAGATTATCTTTTACTAACACATGGATGACCTCCCATAAAAAAACTACATGAAAAATGCTGGTCACTTTGACTTAAATGTTGACCACCATTGTACTTTACAAATAGACTTTGGTGCTGAAATATTGATACAATACTGTACCTTAAGTTTCTTACAAATTGAGCACAGGATCCTAAAACAAAACTCACCAAAGTCACCCTGGTGTGAAATGTGTCATAGTTACCAAACTGATGTTCTGCTATAGTGTTGCACTATACATTAGGACTGCAAGGGAAACTTAAATATCACTGACTTAAATGCATAAAACATTGTATTGCCATAAGTCATTGTAAGTTTGAATGTTCTTGAGAAATGGAATGTACAAAAGAAAAACTCCCCATTAGTTACTCAAATGAGATATTGGCGGGAAAAAATACCAAAATGTTGCTGACCCATCTTGAAACAAGTCAAGATTGCTGACCCAACCAATTCCCAAAACTGCCCGTCAGAAGTCCGAGCAATTTTGGGTTATGTCCCCAACCAGTCCTAAAATCAGGAAGTTGGAAGTCAGAGCAATCTCAGACTATCTTGTAATATGATGATGATAGTAATGTTTTATCATATAAATATGTGGCTATCTGTATCAAAGAATTCTGAGAAATGGACCAATATGTAAAACTTACTTACAATAAAATGATTGTTGTTTCAAACAAGAGTTCTGTAGATGTCAAATATCCCAGACATGCTATCATAGGTTTCTAATAAATGAATTCAACAAAACAAAATATAATAAAATGCTCCGCTGGGCACAGCTTGATATGACCGCTGAGGTCGAACAGTGAACAGTTGGGGCAAGTATGGACACTACATTCAAGCTTGATACAGCTCTGGATTTGGATTGTGATTAAATATTTGACACAGCTTAGGTTTTTGACAAAGAATGAATGTGGTCAAAGAGCAGAAAATTTTGAAATTGGACTTTTAACTATTCATGCTATTACGGTCCAATATTCAAAATCTAAATACATGATTAGATTCAGCATATCAAAGAACCCCATATATTCAATTTTTGTTGAAATCAAACAAAGTTTTATTTTGGACCCCGATTTTAAAAATCTACCGGTAAATACATGTTTAGATTGAGTATATCAAAGAACCCCTTGAATTCATTTTTTGATAAAATCAAAATAAGTTTAATTTTGGACTATGTAGACCAATTTGAAAACCGGTCCCAAAATCAATCAAATTACTGAAGTACTGAACATCAGATGACCGCAAGTTCTTGTGGATGGTCACAAGCACTTGTCTCAGAAAAAAATCACACATCTCTATACCTGAAAGTGAGGTTAATGTACAGAGATATATTTTTTTCAGAGACAAGTTCGTGCCTGGATGATGAATAAATGACAGGGAATTCAACCTCACCATAATAATTATTATATTGTAGTGATACAAATCAGTATACTCTGCATGGTTTGCTGTTATATATTATATTAATATTTGTATATAACAGTTATAGGTATATATAATTTTCATCCATTTGTATATCATTCAATTCTACTATTCTAATAATAGTGCAGTGCAAGTGCATGGTGCACACTGTTCTGTAATAATTCGATTTTTCTAATAGATTGGATTTGAGTTGGCATTCATATTTTCCCGCAAAACGTTCTTGAGATATTCTTCTGCATGCGTTTAACACAATTTTTCTGTACGTGTGCATAGATATTAATGATTTTTTTACTTATATATATATTTCTAACAACAAAACATTTTCATATTATTAATTTATGTTCTAAAAAAAATATTTTTATGAGTATTCATTGAAGAAATGTATTTATAACAAGCGATAAGGAATGTTATTTTGCACTCGATAATGTCCGCGTATTTATAGATCGGTTACCAGTCAAAAGCGAAAGTTACGTAAGTAGAATCTCAACAATACATCGGAATGCCCTCACGGTCATCGCGATGTAAAAATCTTAATACACGGTTAGATTCAGCATATAATAAAATGCTCTGCAGGGCGCAGCTTGATACGACCGCAGAGGTCGAACCCTGAACAGTTAGGGCAAGTATGGACACAACATTCAAACTTGATACAGCTCTGAATTTGGATTGTGATTAAATATTTGACACAGCATAGGTTTCTGACACAGAATGAATGTGGTCTAAGAACTTAAAAATTTTAAATTGGACATTCACCTATTATGGTCCAATATCCAAAATCTAAATACATGGTTAGATTCAGCATATCAAAGAACCCCTAGAATTCAATTTTTGATGAAATCAAACAAAGTTTAATTTTGGACCCTTTTGACCTCAATGTGGACAAAGTTCATAACGGGGCCCAAAAATCTAAATACATGGTTAGATTCAGCATATCAAAGAACCCCATATATTCAATTTTTGTTGAAATCAAACAAAGTTTAATTTTGGACCCCGATTTGGACCAACTTGAAAACTGGGCCCTTAATCAAAAATCTAAATACATGTTTAGATTCAGCATATCAAAGAACACTAAAAATTCAATTTTTGTTAAAATCAAACTAAGTTTAATTTTGGACCCTTTGGACCTTAATGTAGACCAATTTGAAAACGGAACCAAAAATTAAGAATCTAAATACACGGTTAGATTCGGCATATCAAAGAACCCCAATAATTTAATTTTTGATGAAATCAAACAAAGTTAAATTTTGGACCCTTTGGACCTCAATGAGGACCAACTTAAAAACGGGGCCCAAAATCCAAAAACTTAATACACGGTTATATTCAGCATATTAAAGAACCCCAAGAATTCAAGAATAAAACCCCATTGAAATTGATCAAGAAATAAGCAATTTATAAGAAGTATCTTCTTTTGCACAATACTGTGCAATTGAATATTTCTTGCTATTGCGCAATACTGTACAATTGACAATTTCTTGCTATTGCGCAATATTGTGCTATTGGATATTTCTTGCTATTGCGCAATACTGTGCAATTGAAGATTTCTTGCTATTGCGCAATACTGTGCAATTGAAGATTTCTTGCTATTGTGCAATACTGTGCAATTGAAAATTTCTTGCTATTGCACAATACTTATTATATAAAAATTTACACATCCTGTTTGGTGTGTATCTCCTACCATATCATTATTATTTGCTTTTAAATATAAATCAGAAATAACCAAATTAAAATGGAAAATTTTAAAAGAAAAAAAAAAGGAAAAAAAGAAAAAAAAAGAAAAAAAAAAAATCCCCCCCCCCAAATTTTTTGAACCCCCTTATGATTCATCACCCCCAAACTCAACCCCAGCCTTCCCTTTGTGGTATGGTACCTTGCAGTACAATTTCAGAGAGATCCATACACTTGAACACAAGTTATTGTCTTGAAACTAGAAAAATGCTTATTTTTGGCCCCTTTTTGGCCCCCAATTCCTAAACGTTTCAGGCAATTACCCCCGAACTCAATTCCAGCTTTCCCTTTGTGATATGAAACCTTGTAGTACAATTTAAGAAATATCCAAACACTTACACACAAGTTATTGTCATGAAACTAGAAAAATGCTTGTTTTTTGCCCCTTTTTTGGCCCCTAATTCCTAAAATTTTGAGGCAATTACCCCCAAAATCAATTACAGCCTTCCCTTTGTGATATGGAACCTTGTGGTACAATGTCAGAGAGATCCATACACTTACACACAAGTAATTGTCTGAAAGTTACAAAAATGCTTATTTTTGGCCCCTTTTTGACCCCTTATTCCTTAACTGTTGGTACCATAACCCCCAAAATCAATCCCAACCTTCCTTTCGTGGTATTGAACCTTATGGTAAAATTTCATGGAGATCCATTCACTTAAACTAAAGTTAGAGTGCGAAAACCAATGTGTTTTCGGACGACACCGGACGACGCCAGACGACGACGACAACGACGACGACGCCAACGTCATACCAATATACGACCAAAATTTTTTTAATTTTTGCGGTCGTATAAAAAAAACCCAAGAATTCATTTTTTTTTTAATCAAACAAAATTTAATTTTGGACCCTTTGGGCCTGAATGTGGACCAATTTGCTTTCTGTTTCTCTCTTTCTATTATATCTCAACCTGTTATAGTTTTTATAAAAAAAAACACAGAATATAACAAAAAAATTGTCATTTATGGGCAATAACTCCTATAAGTCGTTTACTGAAGATCTCTTGAATGATTTGTAGATCTTGTCCTGACTAGCTGATCATTTTTGCTCTTCAAAGATTCTCTCCATTTATGAAAGTATTCAAGATTAAAGCCAAAAATGTACAAAAAATATGGGTAAAAATCATCACAGTCAATTGAAGATTTCAGCCATGTAGATTTCTTTATAGATCTAGTTTTGCAGGTAATGTTTTGTTATTAAAGGTTTCTCTCTATTTATAATTGTTTTCAAAAACCAATAAATAACATTTAAGGGTCATAACTCCAATAAGCAGTCGTCTAACTATTTTGATAAAAATCAAGACTAAATTTATATGAAGATTTTAACAATCTGAGCATTTTTTCCCATGTTAGATTTGCTCTATCTATCTATCATGCTTATTTGAAGAAGACAGCATTATATATTGGGACATGTAACTAAGAATATTTTTCAATATCATTGGCCTCACAAAATTAAATATTATTAGGGGCACTCCTCTGTTCAGACATTGGTCTACTATCTATCTAACACCCCTTAGGATTTTGATATTGATAAGAATAATACAAGTAATAGCTTTTCTAAAAAGCTAGCCGTCTTTAGCTGATGAAAGTGGAAAATGTATTCGCTTTGTAGTTTAATTCATTCAGAATAGCCATGTATATAAATCATGATAAATTGTAGTGGATTACAAAACTTATAAAAGGCTTATACATTTTTTTAGATTTACCAAAATCTTTTTTGGGGGAATGTATTAACACTGGAAAAGGAGGGGTAATGTCTTAATCATCTGTGTTTGTAGCAACCTTTTGAACATATTTTTTTTATTTCAGTTTTTTCTGATAGATGGACTTAAGTCTTTTTCAGTTAACATTTACAGTCTGGTATTAAACTTTTTTGGACATTTTTAAACCTTCATGGATTGTTATGAAACTTTGACATAAGTTAATCTTCAAGACCAGGAAAAAGCATCTAAAGAAAAAGTTTGAAATTTTTTTAAAATTCTTTATACTGATAAATGGACCCACTTTTTAAGTCAACATTACACTATACACTGATAGAAGCAATCGCAGGGGAGACACAGTGTTCCGCGGAACCCCTTACGAATTGTTTGCTATTAAGATATTTTTATGCCCCTGCAACTAAAAGTTGGGGCATATTGTTTTACCCCTGTCTGTCCGTCTCATTATGGATATATAGTTATTCCACATAACTCCTCCTACAGTTTGAATGCTTAAGGAAGTTTTCACTTTGCTGGTTAATTGTCTCCCAGACACAATTATATCTCAAAGAAAGTCCTACATTGACTTTGTTATAATACAGTTACTTCAGAGTGGAGTGCGGGGGCATCACTTTGACTAGTTTTACGTGTATTCACAACTAGGCTACATATTATAGCTAGACTTGAGAGGTTAAAGAACTTAAAATATTGTAATGACATGTCCATTGTAAAAGACCGTATGTTGAACTTAATTGCTTAAAATATGCTAGCATACATGTATAATTGCTTTTATCGTCTGAGAGTAGTTTCGTTTTATTCTCCCTTTGGAGCCTTTTCTAGTCTTCTGTTCTTCAACGTGTGCTATCTTGATAGGAAAAGCTAGGGAGAGCTAGACAACGTCCAACCCAGCCCACACCTGGATCCCCTAAAAATCTTGGGGTATGTGGAATTATTATAATGAGTGGAAGGGATGAGCCGCTGGTCGAGAAATTTTAGTGATATATATAACAAGGTGGATGATTGTGAATCTGAAACTAATCAGATGTCGATATTTTTTTACAGATGCAATTAAAATTACTGCCATAAATGCTTAAGACATTTGCCAAAACTATTCATCTCCCGTTGAAATAATGTAACAATGATAGCTATATGTAAGTATAATTATTGTAAAAAAATATGATAGTTAGGGTATGTCCTTTTGTTATTCAAGATATATGAAAAGAGTGGGGTATTGGATGTCTCAGCTAGTCACCCCTACCATAAAAAGGTCGAAGTGCCGCCACCCCCTGAGATGAAATAAAGGTTCCATTGTAAACTAATTTTAATTGACAAAAAAATGATTTGGATATCTCCGTTTTCAATGTTTTTTCTGTCTTTTGATTATTTTACTAAGAATTAATATCTATAACCTAAGAAAAAAGCATGAGCGGTGTTTTCCTATGTTATCATGTGTAAAATGTACGTAACTTGGCAGTGAGCGATTGGATTGAATGTGAAATAATCACGTGTGTGTTTACAAAATTTTAGGAGTTTCGGTTATTTATAGATAAGTGTTACCTGTGTACTGATATGCATAATTGGTAACCAGGCAAAATCTAATTGCTAAAGTAAAGAGTTCAAATCCTACACTTTACGTGATTAACAGACATTTACTACGTTATGATTGTCCCAACCAATCAACGAACTTCACTATTATAGAGTCAGTAATTATCTTCCAATCAGATAGTAAGAAGCATTCAGCCCGCAGACTGTGCATCGTTCAACTCTTAAGACCGTGACCGTCTCCTCGGAGACGGTAATGACATTGAAGAGGACTTTTAGGGTGGCATAGGGTAATTTTCATTTCCATAATTTTATTATTTAGTTCAACAGTTATTCTGGTGTCCAAGCTTTGAGAATTTGTCCTTTTCTTAAAATATATTATTCAAATATTTTAATTTTAGATGGTAAAAAGGTGCACTACTTTTACATTCTTCTTTTTTCACAACAATTTATCTGTAACCAGAGAGCATGATTCTTATGAGAAAATCATATTGTCTCCACCGGGACCTCTGTGTTACTAGGCAGCACTAACCGATTGAGCTAAAGAAGTACTTTCTTAGCTCAACCGCTTACAGCTGACTAAGTCTCTACTAATGAAAGGAAGCAATCCTGTCACATATTAATAATTTTTATATTGTTAGATAGAGGACATTTCATAGGGTGGCATAGTAGTTTTTTTAAGTGTTTTCCCAAAGAAAGCATTGAAAAATACATGTTTCTAAGAATTTCAGTTGATGATTTCTTGTAAAAAAAATGTGTTTATTCTTTTTTAAAAACTTTGATTTCCGGTTTTAAATATTCAAATAACACACAAATATATATATATATATATACATATATATACTGTAAAAGAGGCAATGAAACTGAAAAATAAATATTTAAATTTTATTGCATTTTGATGAGATTAGACCAGGTAATTAACATGTTAAAATTATGCAATTTTGCTTATTGCCTCAAATGAACCATTGGTACACCTAGTTGTGAAACAAGTATTAACTACAGATCAAGATAGCTTTGATTTTAAAGTAAAAAAAATCACTTGCATTCTTTGGTTTATACAGTATGTACAGGTTCTATTTTTTTCATCTATTCTGTTAACAAAATCCATAATTATCCATCTTTGGAACATTATTTATAGAATATTCCTATGAAGTGCTGAGCTAAAGTTACAAGCAAATAAGTATCTCAGGGGACACTGGAAAAACAATTTATTGTTATCAAGTACAAAGGAGAATCTAAATTTTGGATTATCATTTTACAAGAGAAGATAATTTACATGAGAGATTACCCTGTCATCAAGACAAAGATTTTACAAGAGAAGATAATTTACATGAGAGATTACCCTGTCATCAAGACAATTAAAGATTGAAGATTGAAGTTATTGTTGATTACGACTAGAAGTTTTAAAGCCTTCAATGTTTTCAGAAGTGGATTCAGGGGGATGGCCTAGGGGATCCTGACCCCCCTTATGGAGCTACATATATGATTAATGCACAGACTTTTTCCATGTTTCCTAGTTAGCCCCCTCCCCCCTTTTTTCTAAATCATTGATTAGTCCCAGTCTAAACTGTCATTGGCAATTTTATTGGTAAGGACACTGGTCAGGGCAAATTTGATGTTTGTCAGGTCAGTTTCTTTTTACCAGTTTATTAATAACATCCGTCAGATGATCTAGATGCAAATCCATGATTTTGAAAAAGTGGGCCCCTTGTTACTAAGTTAGCCAACGTTTGGACTGATGCTTGTAAAAAGTATATATGCATTTATCATATATGTAGTTCCATAAGGGGGGTCGCCCCACCCCACCCCCCCCCCCCCCCAAAAAAAATCCACCTCTGAGATCATTGGATATCAGTGTACCCACATTTCATTTATAGGGACGAACGTGATTTGTGGGCGAACGGACCAGGATTTTATCGGAAAACCGTTGCTGTTGTGTATAATAATTTATGGTCCTTGTCGTCAAATCTGCATATACAAAAAAATACCAGAGCCACGGTTCCACATAACAAAGTGGAACAAACGTTTATCAACAGACTTTATAAATCGAAAGCGCCTTTAATCTGTAGACAAGAAATTTTACCTGTGTACGGAAATCGTGGCGAGCAAGTGTTTTACCTCACCTGTCTGAAAATAAAATTTTGGTCCTTTCCTGCAAAATCAGACATGGTTCTGCGGATACAAGAACTAATCCGTTTCCTCTCAAAAATTGATGACCGTTGCCAACATTGATTCTTCTTAGACCACGTCTCGTGCTTCTTCCCGCTAACCAGGTCTTGTACATGAGAAATTGACCTAAGGTTGCAATAGGGTTCGTTTATAACTTTGAACAACTTGTATACTACAGATCTCGTCTGTAAGAGTATTGCCATTTAATTTCTATTGTTTGCCTTTCAATAGCATTCGGTGATATTGTCGTTTATGTTATGAGGAGATACGTGATCTCTTTATAAATATATATCTATTTACGTTTTCAGCGCATGGGCATACGTTCATGTCAGTCATGTTTTAATGTTGTTTTCGCCATTTCTGATGCAATTGTTGTTAGTTATTTAGGACCAAGTAGAATTGTATGTCAGCATGTTGATGTGAGACATCTAACTGGAAGTGTTTAACGACCTTGACTGGATGTACATCCCTCGCACGGTCGGTAAATGTGAGACATCTTTGAATGATGGGAGTTCAAATAACTTTTCCTGAAATTTCCCGTAGGTGTGTCCTTTAAGAGCCAATGAAAATTCTTTCTGGAATCCAACTTTAGTTAAGGTGTATATCTAGGACTAATGATCACTAATAGCTGGGACTATTATCCTAGTATTAGTATAATAGTCCCAGCTAATAGATAATTCAATGTATTTATAAGTCCAAGAAATATATTGAGCATAAATGGATGCATGGTTTTATGAATTATGATCAATTATAATATTATACAATCTTGAGGCAACGTTTATTAAAACACATTCAGCATACCATTCACTAGATGAAGAGCCGCTAAAGTTATACTTTTAATCTTTTCTTTCTAAAAATGTTGTTCTTACCCCTATTAAGAACACCATTCTATTCTTTTCGGCGCCTCTTCAGCTGGAAATTCTCAGATATACCGTGCATATATAGTAGATAGGTCGACCTTCCCATGATTAGAAACAAGTGTCTGTGGCTTTAGTGTTGCGTTATGTACAGACTTGAAGTAAGAGAGAGACTTTCCTATAATTATGTCAATTATGGACAACTGAAAAAATTAAAAAGCAAATAGCACTTTCAAAAAGACATCACAATTTCTGTCCATAAATCATGATAATTCATCTGCAATGACCATTCACTATAATTTACCATTACAGGGGCATTAGCTGTCATTTCAAGTTCACCGATTTGACCCAGATTATCATACCTTAATTAATAACCTACCACAAATTATATATAGATAAAAAAATGTATCAGCATCCTGTTTCGTGCGTATAAAAACCTTACGTACACATCACTTGTCCGTCCAGTCGTCGAATACTCTTCCCCTGTATGGGATCCGTACAAAAAGCAACACATCACTCAGGTTGAGCAGGTACAGCGTAAGGCAGCCAGGTTTGTCTTCAATGATTATAAAGACAGATCACCTGGAGCAGTTTCAAATTTAATTAAATCATTGGAATGGGAAAATTTAGAAATAAGAAGGAAAAAAGCTAGATTAACTATGCTATATAAAATAAATTGGGGGTTAGTGGAAGTTCCTAAGGACAATTTAACAATATCTGATAGACGTACTAGGGGGAAACATAAATTTTGGCAAATATCAACAAATAAAGATTTCTATCAATTTTCTTTTTATCCTCGCACTATTTCGGACTGGAACTCACTACCTGAAGCAATAGGTATGTCTGACACCCTGGAATCCTTCAAAAGTGGCATATCCACTCTAACATTTGAAGGAGCCACAACAACTTATTAATCTACAAAGCCACTGTACATAATGTATATATGTTATTGTTAATGATTTTTCTTTGTCATATTATTTTTAAATTAAGTCCATATGTACATAGCACACAAGTTCCGGGAAGTTTTACACTCCTACCTAGGAGTCTACTCCCGTATTCGGAAGAAGAAGATTTTAGAATAGCCTGCTATCTTATTATCCATAGAGTTGACCTCTGAAGACGGCCGATGGTCATGTCACCCGATTAAAACATAAATATAAATAGACAGCCAAACACGTGCCATCGTATAATGATGATTTTTCTGGGTCTGTTTGATTTGATTCATGTCATAAATACCAATCATTGTTTGTGTGGTACGGATGAGTTATGGTTATTCCATGGAAGTATATTATATACTTCCATGGTTATTCCTAGTGGCTCCCTTTTAAATCAGGTTGACATTATTTTCTTTTAAACGAATTAACATGTTGACCACATGCTGAACACATGCGCAACCTATCTCCAGCTAAGGGTTGGCCATTGGTGGTCTAAGTAGTTCATCTACAGTATCACTATCCTGTCAAAACTTAGGTTGTGAATTCGAACTCCACAATTGACTATAGGATTGCAAGCTTTCCTGTCAAATGTCGATGGTTTGCATTTTACCTGCAAATAATAGCAACAAATAAAATAATAGACAAGGAAAACACGACGGTACCCTACCGGGATGTACTTCTCCGATATTGACCCACCAGAACTTTGGTTTCTTTCTTCGATTCTGGTACTACATCAAACAGTGGAATAAGATTTAGGTTCAGACTGAGACTACTATAACACATGTGTTATAGTAGTCTCAGATAAAGCTAGTTAAAAATAGTCAGTCTTTCAGTTTAATTTACGATACAGTGAACCATATGCTATAAATATACCCATCTGCTGGAGGACAAACTTAAACTGGTATCTTATTTTATACATTTAGGGCATGTAGATATACCCGTTATCATTAGTGAATGACATGTATCAATTTCGACTTTGTTACTGGATATGACAAAGTTGAACTCAACTGTGCTTATCAGTGGTTTAATATATAGGGTGGATAAATAATGTATGTCTAAACATAGTTAACAAAACTTTAGACTCGACATAAGTTTAAATTCTGGGACACGTTCTTGCCTGTGTTCACTATTGCTCTTGTAACGAGAAATTTTGTTTGTCATTTATGAATAACCTATAAAGTTTGATGATACAAATATGTGGTTTAATCAATACAGCCCAGATCATATCTTGGAACCCTCCGCTTTTAGGAAGAAATCTATATCTGTGTATAGAAATAAAGACTTCTTCCTCACATTCATGGTCTCCTACGAAAACATGAATTTGGTCAACATTATTGTATCCAAGGAGCTACTGAAATACTTCAGGACCTCCATAATTCGAACTGAATTCAGGATATCCACAAAACATTGAAGATCTCCTGAAATAATTCGGGATATCATGAAATCGAATTATGGAGGTCCTCAAGATTTATGGATATCTTTAATTCGAATTATGGAGGTCCTGAAATATTTCAGGAGCACCTTAAATACATTTATGTTGACTTAATCCGGGCCTCATAGCTTTACTCTAAACATTGTTTATCAATTAAACTTGAACTTTCCGTAGCTACAATGAAAATGTATATCTCTTTGACTATTAAACTTTTCATCGTCAATTCAAACTATAGTCTGGTGTAATCCTATTCACATCCCTTTACTTGCTTGTGGCGTATTCTCTCGCTACAGCACATATATCTAATTCACTACTGGTGGGCTAGGTCCTTTTTCAGTTGAGTTCATTGATTGTTTACTTTGTGCAAGGCAAATATACTAGTCATTAAAAGAAACGATACAAGGCAATGTTTTTTCCATATATAATGAAATTGGATACACTGTACCAAGGTAAATAATTGCCCAATTGGTCTAATATTTGCAGATTGTTATTTTCTTTTCAAAACCATTGATTTAAGGCAAATACGCGAATTTTTTGTTGTTGCAATTTTTGTTATTTCAAAAATCGTATTTTCACCCAAAAATTCAAAAATCGATATTAGAACTTAAAACTTTAAACGTGAACATGGTCTGCTTAAAATTTTGAATGCCTTTGCAGATATTTGAATACTTAATTCTCATCTTCGAAATTAAGTGCCGACTTTTGTCATCATTTTCCGCAAAATAAATTTGACCCCTGTGTTCAATAACACGTTATTTTCTCACTTTCCAATTTGGTCAGATTCTTTTAATCATATGCATTTGCTTTGCAAACGAATGTTTTTCATTGGATAATTTAACAGTTTTTCCTATTTATTATATTTTATAATAAATTAGAGTTCAAACTTGTGTATCGTTACTTTTGTTGACTAGTATATGTCGAGAACCCCATAATGCTTTTTGAAAATCAGGTAACTGAACATGTTGATTTAGTAAGACATGCCGACGAACATTCAGGATGATATAGATATAAGAAGATGTGGTATGAGTGCCAATGAGACAACTCTCCATCCAAGTCAAAATTTATAAAAGTAAACCATTATAGGTCAAAGTACGGTCTTCAACACGGAGCCTTGGCTCACACCGAACAGCAAGCTATAAAGGGCCCCAAAAATTACTAGTGTAAAACCATTCAAACGGGAAAACCAACGGTTTAATCTATATAAAAAACGAGAAACGAGAAACACTTATGAACCACATCAACAAACGACAACTACTGAACATCAGATTCATGACTTAGGACAGGTGCAAACAGTTGCAGCGGGTTTAAACGTTTTAATGGTACCAAACCTTCACCCTTATCTGAAACAATAGTGTAACATCACAACATAAAAAGACACACTATAAAATATCAATTGAAATGGCTTAACTCAATCAATAGACATATTAACACCAGTGAACATACACTCAACAAATAAATTTGATCTATGATACAATGTAAATACAAAATAAGTAAACTAAGGGAAGAATAATTAAAGTAACATGTTATATCGCTGTAAAATGTTAAATAATTTAAGAAAAACAATATGCTTGAACAAAAATATCAGCCATTTGCAATTACTTTAAACACAGGTAAATGAAAATAATTGTGTTGTAAGGTATACGTGTACAGTTCAAATGGAGAAAGGAAATATTTTTACAAAATAAATAATTTTGATGTTCATAGTACGAAGAAGTGAAAATTTATAGTAATACCAAACACTTATCAAAGCTAGTATATAGACCAGATATAGCCCTGAATTACATTAAATAACAAAAAAGCATTACAATTAGTATCAACAGGTAAAATAAAAAGAAAGTACGATTTGAGAGTACCCGCAGTTACTGACAGCTAGTTAAAAGCTAAAAACAATTAATAATAAAAAATCATGCATCAGAGACTAAAAATCAACTAAAAAAATTAAAAACACATCCCAGAGATTTAGTATTTTAACGTCATGGACAGTGATGACTTTTAAGTTTGTCTAATCTATAACAAGTGGCACAAAAATGATTAACTTCACGTCAGTCAACACCTCTAAACATAATTTTATGCGGTGATGTTTTTGAACATTTATTCTCTTGAAATAAAGAACAATACCATAACGTAGGTGTCTTTGATTCTTTTTTAGCACTGAAAGAAGGCTTCTTATCAAAATCCTATTTAACATATTTAGACAGAAGAGGGACTTCCAAATTATCAGTAGTATCTTTCCAGGTTTTAACCCCCGTTTCAATTTGTCTCAAAAATGCAGCGTAGAAGTCAAGTAAAGATTTCCACTGATAAATAGAACTGTAATATAAAATTTTCTTCAA